CAGTCCCAAAGTTGTAGGAGGAGGCAGTTTGAAGAAAGGACCACATTAGTGTTCTGTGAGAGGTTCTACTGCACAGAGGAGGTGTGGATGAAGAGAGCTGTTCTTCTATTTTATTTTTTTATGGTGTTTTTTGTTTTGTTTTGTTTTTAGAGAGAGAGTAAGGGAGAGATAGAAACATCAATGAGAAACATTGATCTGCTACCTCCTGCACACCCACAACCAGGGATCAAGCCTGAAACCTGGCATCTGGCCTGACAGGGAATTGAACCAGAGACCTCTTGATGCATGGGTTGATGCTCAAACACTAAGGCACACCAGCTGTGAGTGAGCTATGCTTTTTGATAGGAAAGTGGGATGAAAAAAATGACAAAGGAGGGAAAGGTGGGTAGAACTGTAGTGGTTAGAGGAAAATAATTATGGTAACTAATAGGCCTGTTTACCAGGATTCTGAGCTGGGAAGTCTCTTCCTTTGTGTTTGCTTTCTATTATTTAACCTGTAATGCCTAGATCAGTGGTCTTCACAATAGAGTGTACATACACCTGAGGGTGTGAAAAGACTCTTCAAGATCCTCAGATAGGAGTAGTGTCAATGAGATGAATGTTCATACCCTCAAACCCCACATGACCTCATTCTTAAAATGGGTTGAAAAGGCTTATTTCCCATTACATCTCTCACAGTTGTCTTTCTTTTACTTTAAAAACAAGGGATTGCCCAACCAGCGTGCTCAGTGGTTGAGCATCAACATATGAACAAGGAGTTCATGGTTCAATTCCCAGTCAGGGCACATGCCCGAGTTATGGCTGGATCCCCAGTGTGGGGAATACAGGAGAGAGCCAACCAATGTTTCTCTCTCATCATTGATATTTCTATCTCTTTCTCCCTCTCCCTTCCTCTCTGAAATCAATTAAAATGTATTTAAAAACAAAAAAGGGAATAGCCTTTCCCTCTCTCTCATACCTTTTTTCTCTTTCTCTTTCTATCCTGTCCCTTCCTTCCCTTCCTGACCAACCCAGTACTAAGCTGTTCTGGGAGGCAGAGCAAAATCAACATCTGTGTTAGCAGTTAGAGGAGACAGAGTGTAGAAGGGAAACTGAGGTGACCCACAGCAAAGGATCAGAGAAAAGCAGTGAAGGGATACCAAACCATGGAGGCAGCCTGATGTGGGGGAGGTGAAAGTCCATGGGGGGAGGAGTTCTCTGATGAGTGTCAGAGCCAGAGCACAGTGAAAAATGGGGTGGGACATGCCAGAGCACAAACAAGGTAAAGAGGCATCTATGTGGAGGGAGTGCATAGCATAGGGCTGGAGAGGATTGAAGAGGGCATTCATGTAGAATAAAGGGTAGAAACATAGGAGGGTTTATGAAAAAAATAAACATATAAAGTATCAAGAGCCAGGATTCTCAATTGCAGAGAAGATAGTTATAAATACTGAAGGGTGGGACATACTAAAATGAAATCACTAGCTCATGATTTCAGTGTAGCCTGAGGAAGTAACCATGGTGGACCAAGTGAATCTTCCTGAGGAATTTACCAAGAACAACAGACTGATCCAGCAACCTGTGACTGACAGCTGGCAAAGTACTCTAAATCCCTGCTCTTATATAGTAAGACCCCTAATTAGGGCTGGGTGCTGCTACTTGCCAGTTGCCTGAGAGAACCCCTAACTGCCACATCATCCTTCAGGTCCTTGAGACTTTATAGAGCAAGAAGTCTTATTCCCGCTTTCCTTTAAAAAAAAATCATTTCCTTTGGGTTTCACCATAAATACATCAGGTGTGGTGTGGAAGAAGCACAAAGGAACTATTAGAGAAATTGAATTGGGCATTTTAATTTTGCAGTGAGTTTCTATAGAGATTTAGGTAAGATGTGGCTCTGTGAAGAGCTCAGTACTAATAGCCTGGAACTCATTGCTAAGATCCTCCCCACCTTTCTCTATCAGTTTTCGCAGCAGCTTCTTAGGCCTCTGCATTGTTTCCACAGTGTCTCTTTCTACCATTGGGGCAGAGCTGGCTCTGTCCTGTTAGGGAGGAACCAGGTAAGTCTTTCTTTCCCAAGTGAGATAATTGCCATAAAATGTCCCTAATCTGTCCTTTCCTACACTTGTAAGAGATTTAGAAAGAGGCCCCACTTAGTTGAAGGTACCATGTACCAGTACAAACACCAGTAGGACTTCCTGCTTCATCCATAACTATGTCTTATGCCAGTTTTCCCACCAGATGGGTCCTTCAGATGGCTTTGCAAGATAAGCAGCAAATGGGAAGAGGACCTTCTGTCAAACTCTGTTTTGTGACAGCAACTACACCCTGGGCTTGATCAACTGCCTAGATTTAGTCTTCAGCCAACTGCACTGAATACTGCCCTTCAGGGAAAGGACCCCATAGAGCAGCGGTTCTCAACCTGTGGGTCGCGACCCCTTTGGGGGGGTCGAACGACCCTTTCTCAGGGGTCGCCTAAGACCATCGAAAAACACACATATAATTATATATTGTTTTTGTGATTAATCACTATGCTTTAATTATGTTCAATGTGTAACAATGAAATTGGGGGCCACCACAACATGAGGAACTGTATTAAAGGGTCGTGGCATTAGGAAGGTTGAAAACCACTGCCATAGAGCAACAGGAAGAGTTCAAAATGCAGGTGCTCAAGGAGCCCATTTGCGGCCTACCTGAAGTGGTTTGGAGGCCAGGGAGGGGTTCCTGGTAGAGCTCAAAGCAGCAAAACCCAAACTCTTTCTCAATTAAATCAAATAGTTTTTTGTTGATATGCAGTAGATATGTGCAAACTAGTTGCATAGTGATTATCTTAACATTCCATGCACATTCTACAAAGTAAAACTCCTTATTTTTACTCAAAGTAATAACTCAATTGGATTTTAAATTCATTCCAATTTTTACAAGACATTTCAACATTGCATTTGTGAATGAAATAAAAAAAAGAGATGTGAGGTTCTTTAAGTACAATTTAAATGAATGGGATTAAAAAAGATTTAAAAACTCATATCACCTACTTGTGCAAGTGAACTAGCTCACCAATTGTGACTATAATGAAACTGAAGCCCCACCAGTGTTGCTCAGTGGTTGAGCATTAACCTATGAACCAGGAAGTCAAGGTTCGATTCCCAGTCAGGCAAATGCCTGGGTTGTGGTCTTGATCCCTGGGGAGGGGCGGGAGTGGGACATGCAAGAGGCAGACAATGAATGATTCTGTCTCACTATCGATGTTTCTATCTGTCCATCACTTCTTCTCTGAAATCAAGTATTTTTAAATCTTTAAAAAAGCCCTAACCAGTTTGGCTCAGTGGATAGAGCATCGGCCTGTGGACTCAAGGGTCCCAGGTTCGATTCTAGTCAAGGGCATGTACCTTGGTTGCAGGCACATCCCCAGTAGGGAGTGTGCAGGAGGCAGCAGATCAATGTTACTTTCTCAATTGAAGTTTCTAACTCTCTATCCCTCTCCCTTCCTCTCTGTAAAAAAAGCAATAAAATATATTTAAAACAAAAAAATCTTAAAAAAAATTGAAGGGATCATCATTGATAATTATAATTGCACACTGATAATTATCTGTAGTCATTTCAAGTATATGAACAGAAATCAAAACGCTATACTTATTCAAGCAACTTCAAAAATTTAAGATTTTAGGTGTATTCCTTCTAAAGATATATTTAACATACTGTATTTCTTAAAATTTCTATTATATTTTTCTTATATAATTGTATAATATAGAAAAAATGTCATTTTCCCACATGAAACCCATATAGCGAATCCCCTTGTAGTTTACTACAGATTGCCCAACAAATAACATCATGTTCTCTGTGTGCCATGACATTAAAAAGATTAAAAAGTGCTGCCTAGTCCCTAGAGAGGTAATATATGCTCCATCTCTGCAGTTGCTCCCATGGTCCTTAAGACCCTGCACAATTATATACCACATGCCTCTACCAGCTCAGGATCCATTCCCTCACATACAAAGTGTATTTCTCCTCTGCCTAGAGAGAACATGGCCTTTGGAATGTCTTCCCCTCCATGCTTTGGGCCAACCCTTCCTAGACACTCTCTGAGCAGCAAGATCTCTGAGCCCTGGGCCCTGGGCGGCAACTTCGCAGGCATGGTCACCAAATTCCAAATTGTAGTGTTTGTTGAGGGGTTACAGCCTCTGCTTTACTTCCACTACTAATTTACATCTTTTGAAAAAGAGCACCAGAAGCCTTACTTGGGCAGGCTGGGGGAGGAAGTGATGCTGGAAAGTACAGAAGCCACCTGTTTTTTCTGTAGGTCCAAGGCAGAGGGGCCCCTAAGCTCCTGGTTCCTCTAGAAGCAGGGTCCTGACCCTGGATCACCGGACATTATGCACAGAAGATATACGTGTGGGAGTGAGTCATCAGCATGTAGAAGACAGCTGGAGCCATTACATTACAAATAATCTCATAGGAAGAATATATAAAATAAGATTTTTTTAAAAAGGATTCAGGAAAGGGCTCTGGGGGAGGAGCAGTTAAGCTGTGGAGTGAGGAAGAGAAGCCAGAGAAGGAGGCTGAGTGGGAGCAGACAGAAATGCATAAGGAACAGAGAGACTGGAAGTGTGAGTGCCCTGAGTAGTCCTGGAAATCAAGGGTCCCAAAATTTGTAGAAAAAGGAGCAAGAATCTTACCCTGCCCCTCACCATAGTTTCATAGATAAGATGTGCCCAATACCTGCCTAGGAGTGAGATTTCTTCATGCCCTCCCCTCTCAGCCCTTTGACTTAAGTCTCAGAGTTCTCTTTTTATCTCTCTCCTCATTACAGTGTTTTCCTCCTTTTCCAATGAGTCATGGGCACAACGCCTTGGGATCATCCTGCCTCAGTCACCTGAGGAGGCAGCAAGTCTCTACAATGTATCATAGCAGCCTCATCTCACTCTACCTCTCTCTCTGGATGCTCATAATGGGTGCAGGTAGGAATCCTTATATGAGTCCCTGATTCTCTGTTATGTTAGGGAAAAAAAAAAGGGAAAGAGATGGGAGCTGAAAGAAAAAAATTTGACAATAATACAAATGTTATGAGATCCTGGAAAAAAGTAGAGAGGTTAACTTTATCCACTTACTAAGTGCCAGCCAGAATACTAGGCAATTCATTCCTATTTCCTGGTCTAGGCATGCTGGTGTGTGTGTGTGTGTGTGTGTGTGTGTGTGTGTGTGTGTGTGTGTGTGTAAACCTGAGTACAAATGTGCATGCAGTGGGGCAAAGACTGAGAGACAATAAAGGAGCTCCAGACAGTAATTTAAAAAAGCATACATTCTTATAGCCTCAAGATAATGTGGAATAAAAACAATTAGCTTGTATGCCTTCATTTCTCATCCCATGCTCATGGCAAACAGTATGAATGATTCTCAAACAATTTACTACTGAGCTGCTTCAGAGTCTTCCTCAACACTATCCATCCAACTATCCATCCAGAACCATCAGAACTCCTGTGTGGTCACTCCATCCTACTGACAAGGTCAGAACCTGACCTGAAGGAACTAGCCTGTCTATTCCCATGTCCTGCAGTCACATTTCTCAGATCCCTCCCCACAGAGTGAGTTAAATGAGGAGACTAAGGCCCACATTTTAAATTGGTACTTACTCGCAGGATCTTGCCAACTATGTACCTGCACCCTGAAAGTGAGTGTGTCCTCAAAATTTGTGCCCTATGTCCTTTGCTTGCCTCACCTTAGCCAGGGAGAAACCTCCAACACCTAAGATCTCCAGCTTTCTCTAGCTCTGTGTGAATGTTTAGGTCAGAAAAGATCCAGCAACTATTTCAGACGTTGTTCTCAGAACTTGGTTAGGATGGAAACAACCAATAATGTAGTCAACACCATCTCATCTTCCCAAATCCATCCCCCGCCACCCCCGACACTGACTCCATCTCTGTTCTCTTTTCAGGAGCATTTGAAGTCCAGGGGCCCCATGAACTTTTGGTGGCCACGCTGGATGGTGAGGCTGAGCTGCCCTGCTTCCTCTTGCCTCCTCAAAATGTTAAAAATATGGAAATAAGCTGGACCAGATACCTACCCTCTGACGTGGTGCACCTTTACGAGGATGGGAGGGACAAGCCTGAGGAAGCCATGAAGGAGTATTTTAAGAGGACAGAGCTTGTGAAAAATGTCATGCATAAGGGAATTGTGGTCCTGAGAATCTTCAATGTCCAACTCTCTGACAATGGGCAGTATCGCTGTGCATTCCAAAACGGCTCCTTCTACAGTGATACAGTGATTGAGCTGAAAGTGGCAGGTAATGGCCCACATTTATCCCCCTGACACTCCCAGGGGTGAGTTTATTCTGGGATGGGCATTGATACAGTTTTCCTGGGAAATATAAAAAAAGTCATAGGACAAAGGGAGATGGCCATTACATCTACTCACCCATTATTCCATATATCACTGCTGGGGGCTAAATAAAAAAATAAAGAGACTCATAGTAGGAGTCAAGAAATAGGCAGGGGCCATTTGTGTTGCATTGTGATGGACTCCTCTCTCACCCAGGAGTCTAGACTTATTCAGTGCCTCACATTCCTGTTCTGCACATTGAGGTCTAGTCAGCAGCACAAACACTTCATAAACAGGGTAGGGATATATGTACAGAAAAATGAGCTTAGGACCTGACTTCTCTCTCTTCCTCTTCCCAGCTCTCGGATCACATCCTCAGATCCACATGGAAGTCACTAAATCCCGACAACTCCGATTAGAGTGCAAGTCAGAGGGCTGGTTTCCTCAGCCAAAGGTCCAGTGGATGGACTCTGAGGGAAGAGAAATTTCAGCTGAGTCTGAGACTCACACCCAGGACGAAGGCGGCTTGTTCCATGTAACAACATCACTGTTACTCAGAGAAGCTCCTCGGAAGAATCTGACATGTTCTGTCTGGAACCCAGTTCTGAATCAGAAAAAGGAAGAACAATTATCCATAGCAGGTCAGTTTTCTCTCTCCCCTCACTGTGCCCCACAAAGTGGGTTTGCTGCTCACACTCCATGGTGGTGGCAGCTCTAAGCATATAAGCTTGTTTCTGCTATTTTTATCACACCCACACCAGTCTTGCTGCCTGGATCAAACTTCCCTTCTATGTTTCTACCTTCTCTCATACTTTTCTGACCAAAGGTTCCAGTCCATGAACAAGACCTTCCTCTTCAATCCATTCAGGCTAGTATAACAAAATACCACAGACTGTAGAGCTAATAAATCACAAAAATGTCACTGCTCTGGAGTCTTGAAGTTCAAGATCAGGGTATCAGCATAGTCAGGTTCTAGTAAAAGCCCTCTTCCAGATTGTGACAGCCAGCCTCTCTTTGTGTCTTCATGGTAGAAGGCATAGGCAGCTCAAGGGTGTAGGGGTGGGACTTTTTATAAGGACACTAATCTCATTCGTGAGCTTAGGACTTCACCTTGGCATTGGGATTTTAACATAAATTTTGAGGGGGCACAAACGTCCAAACCATGGTTCTCTTCAACAAAAACCACTTCCACACTTTTTCCTACTAGTCCCCCAAAAGGCCAGTCTTTCCTGTGTCTCATTTACAATGTTTTTCCTCAGCCCCCTCCAACGTTTTACAACTGGATTCTTTCTCTACCAAGATGAGCTTTTGCAAAAAATACTATGAACCTAATCCCAGATGATCTTCCTGTGGACATGCAGTTATGATTTTGATATAGCTTTCTGTATATATATATATATATATATATATATATATATATATTTCACTTCATGATTTCTGTTGTCTTGCCACAGTTTTATTAAATTTTAGTATGTTTGTGTTGTGGTATAAATTAATAGATGCCATTATACCCTAATAGTTTTTAAATTCATGATAAAATGTTTGGCTATAGTATTCATCTATTCTATAAAAGCATTTTTATTATCTTTCTTCTCCTTTTTCAATGTATAATATTTGTATTGTTTCTATGCTGAAGTGCTCATAATATTCTTACTGACTTACTCTTATTACATGCATTGCATGTTCATGGGACAGCTGTTTCCAAAAGTTTCTTGTGAGTCAGTGGCTTCCGGAAGAGCTGATTCTCAGATCAGCTGCTGCTACAGAGAAAGGCTTTTTCCTACCAACATGGCTCCTGTGTGAATATTTGCACATCCCATGCCCTCTGCCTCTCTAAACAAAAGTACGTCTAGGATGCACACCTCAGTTGCTGAACCATTTGTTAGAAACAAGCATGTAGCTTTTGATCTTCCAGGTATGCCCCTCATGCTGAGTAAGGATATTTTCGCTAGTGCTTCCTGCTATTTTCAGTGCATGGTCTTCTCACTATTGTCCACACCTCTCTTCACTCTCTCCCACATGGCTTCTATGTCATCATAGCTTATTTTAGCAGCCTTTGCACCTATTTTAAAGTATGGTGTTTACAATTTTTATTTGTTTCTTTTTATGCTGATATTTTATTTCCAAGCAAAGAAGAGTAATAACACACTGACTTAGGCAGCCATAGTCCTATTGGATTTCTAAAGTTATTGAGTTTAAATCAGATGTGGGACAATTCTAGGTGATGGCATGTCCATTAAAGGTCGTGAGAGCAAGTGGAGTCAAAGTGAAGACTTACATCATTTGCTCTCTTTCTAACTCTCTTTTTCTCTTGCTGAGCTCTGGGTGCACTAGCTTTGACCAATTCCTCAAAGGCAACAAGTTTTGTCTTACATTGGGCCTCCACACTTTCTAACTCCTCTAACTGGAACAACCTAGTCTGGCTTTCTTATTATTTTTTATTTTTAATCTTTATTGTTGAAAGTATTATATATGTCCTTTTTTTTCTCCATTAACCCCATCTAGCCTCCCTACCCCCCACCCCAGGCCTTCACTATACTATTGTCTATGTCCATGGGCTATGCATATATATGCATACAAGTTCTTGGTTCATCTCTTCCCCCCCACCCACCCACTCATCCACTCCTTCCCTCTAAAATTTGACAGTGTGTTCCATGCTTCTATGTCTCTGGATCTATTTTGTCCAGCAGTTTAGTTTGTTCATTAGATTCCACATATGAGTGAGATCATCTGATACTTATCTTTCTCTGACTGGATTTTTTTGCTTAGCATAATACTATGCTGGTTCATACATGCTGTTTCAAAGGGTAAGAGATCCTTATTTTTTACTGCTGCCTAGTATTCCATGGTGTAGATGTACCACAGCTTTATTATCCACTCATCTACTGATGGGCACCTAGGCTGTTTCCAGATTTTAGCTATTGTAAATAGCGCTGCTATGAACATGGTGGTGCATATGTTCATTCTGATTTGTGTTTCAGGCTTCTTAGGATATCTTCCTAGAAGTAGGATCACTGGATAAAATGGCAGTTCCATATTTAAGTTTTTGAGGAGACTACATCCTGATTTCCATAGTGGTTGTACCAGTCCGCATTCCCACCAGCAGTGTATTAGGGTTCCTTTTTCTCCACATCCTCGCCAACACTTGTTTGTTGATTTATTTATAGTAGCCATTCTGACAGTGTATAGTAGTACCTCATTGTTTTAATTTGCATCTTTCTGATGATTAGTGTTGAGCATTTTTCCATATGTCTCTTGGTCATTTGTATGCCTGCTTGGAGAAGTGTGTATTTAGGTCTGTTGCCCATTTATTATTGGGTTGTTTGTTTTACTTTTGTTGATTTGTATGAATACTTTATATATTTATTATATTAATCCATTATCAGATGTATCATTGGCAAATATGTTCTTCCATACAGTCAGTTCTTTTTTCATTTTTTAGGCTGTTTTTTTTTATTTTGTTTTTTTGTTTTTTTGCTATGCAGAAGTTTTTTATTTTGGTGTAATCCCATCCTATATAATAAAAGGGTAATATGCAAATTGACCGAACAGCAGAATGACCAGTCACTATGACATGCACTGACCACCAGAGGGCAGATATTCAATGCAGGAACTGCCCCTTTGTGGTCAGTGTGCTCCCACAGGGGGAGTGCCGCTCAGCCATAAGCCAGGCTGACAGTTGGTGAGCGCAGCAGCGGTGGCGGGCCACGACAGCGCTAAGGATGTCTGACCGCAGCTTAGGTCTGCTCCCCATGGGAAGCGGGCCTAAGCCATCAGTTGGATATCCCCCAAGGGCTCCTGGACTGCTAATGGGCACAGGCCAAGCTGATGGGATCCCCCCTCCCCAAGTGCACAAATGCCATGCACCGGGCCTCTAGTTTGTTTATTTTTTCCTTTGATTCTCTTGCGCTGGGCATTGTACCAGCTAAAATTTTGCTACATTAGATGTCTGATATTTTGCTACCTATGTTTTCTTCAAGGATTTTTATGGTTTCACAATTTACATTTAAATATTTTATGCATTTTCAGTTCATTGTTGTATATGATGTAAGTCGGTTCTCTAGTTGCATTTTTTACATGTAACTGTCCAATTATCCCAACACCATTTATTGAAGAGACTGTCTTTACTCCATTGTATGCTTTGGTCTCCTTTATTGAAGATTAATTGAGGATAATGTCATGGGTAGATTTCTCAGTTCTCTGTTCTGTTCCATTGATCTATATGTCTGTTCTCATGCCAGTACCAAGCTGTTTTGATTACAGTGGCTTTGTAGTATAACTTGGTATCTGGTATTGTGATCCCTCCAACTTTGTTCTTCTTTCCCAGGATTGCTGTGGCTGTGTGGGGTCTTTTTTGGTTCCATGTAAATTTTTGGAATGTTTGTTCTAGATTGGCATTCTTCTTTGTAGAATTTATTTGCAATTCTAGAGGGAGACATGGTGGGGTCATACCAAAATCCTGCTATGTCCCTAGATCTAGTCTCCCTCTTCTCCATCCATATTCACTCTCATTGCTTGACCCCCGTCCTTCTTTAACTGCTGTGTCCTTCACCACTACCACACACACACACACACACACACACACACACACACTGAATTATTTACTTCTACTATAAAGGAAAACTCAACTTCCAAATTTGCCTGTTCGTACCCATCTAAACCTCATCTGAACAAGGGGCCTTATATCTAGTAACCATAGTCCTTAGAAAGAGATTAAAATAAAAGGGCAATGAATATAAAGTTACCTGCCAGTACAATATCCTCATATATTCCAAACAGAAAGTCAGAGAAAACTGACAGGTAGACAAGGGAACAAAACTTGTTTAAGGCAATTTGTCCATCCAAACCAGATTTGCTGAGCACCAAACATTCACCAAACTCAAGTTCTCAGTCTCCCAGTCCAAAACTAATTTCAGAGAGGAGAGTAACTTGGATCAACTTTAGGATGTAGAGAGAGGGAAAATTACGTAAGTCTTCATTTTGACTCCACTTTTCTCCATTTGCTCTCGTGGCCATTTCAGGACTTGTCATCAATGATAGAATTGCCCCACATCTGACTTAAACTCAAACTTTTAGATTTCCAATATATATGGCTGCATAAGTCAGAGTGCTCCCCAACATATTGCACCATATTTCTATGTGACAGTTTTTCAATCATTCTCTCTTTTCTTCATTTAGATAACTACTACTTACTCTCTACTCTTGGATGAAATATTACTCCCTTAGAGAGTCTTATTTTACTGCCTCTCTGGATGAATTATGTTCCAGCATTATTTTATTTATAGTAACCTGTTATTTTCATAATATTGGTACTGAAACAAATGCAATTATACATATATTTCCTTATGCATTTTTTGTCAATGTCACTCAGTATGCAGAAAGTTTCCCAAAGAATGGAGGCATGATTTTTTTTTAAATGACTCTATCCCACTGCCTAATATAGTAGAGGGAACAAAAAAAGCATTCAACAAACATTTGTTGTTAAAGAGATCAATAAAGAGAAAGACAAGGGTTTTGAATGGCTTGTCCATGTGGACTCTGAAGTCACTAAGGATAATGACAGACCTTGGCCTGCAAGGTGGCATGGAAGACAGGGCCTGGTGCCTTCAATGAATGGGGAGAGTGAGCATGAGACCAGGCAGGGGGAGATAAAGGGTAGTGCTATGAAATAAAGCTGAAAAAATAATATTTTTATAAGATCCAGTTTTAAGTTGTGATATAGATTATTCACCCCATCATCCTCTACTTTGAATTAATTTCCCACTATTCCCAATATCCCTAACCCAAACTTTTCCTCTGAGCCCTCTAGAAATTTATTCCATTGAAAATTACTCCCAAAAAATCATCCATCTCTTCCCTCAAATTCCATCTACCTTCTTGCCTTACCTAAAATCTAAATTTCCCTACAAATTCCTGGCATTGTATTCAATTCCCAGGGCCAATTCCAGCCCTTTACTTCATTTCTAATCATGTAAGTACTTCATGCTTTTTTAAGGTTTTGTCACAAGTCTGTTGCTCCTTTTCATTTACTTATGATTGAATTACAGTCTGTCTCTCCACACCAATAACTCTCATCACCTTAGGTTACTTCCAGTCCAAGGAGACAGTCTCACCTAGACACACTAGCATATCAGCTCTATGAATGCCACATTT